CTTTCTTTCTTTCTTTCTTTCTTTCTTTCTTTCTTTCTTTCTTTCTTCCAAACATAGCAATATAATTCGAATAATGTGATTCGGTATTTATAATGCTGAATTTTCATGGTGCTGTTACCTTCTAAATCTTCAGTGATTTGACTTAAATGAGGCAGAAAACTCCTATGTAAACCAAATTTTAAAACAGCAGGGCATTGATTTTATTATTATTCAAAAACGTAGTATTATAGCAGAATCAGAAAATAGACTGGGCACCTACTGCATAATGATAACCAGTGCCACATACTGATGTAACAGAAGGATATGTTCACTCAGTTTCTTTTCCCGAATTTAACTCCCCCCTACTACATGTTAACTTTTTTCACTTGCCTTTCTTTCACCGTTTGGAAGAAGGGAGTCTCACAAGTTACAGAATCAGATTCATTAGAGAAAATCTTTTACAAGTATTTTTCGGATATGTGCTGAAATCTTTGTAATAGCACTGTTCAACTCTTTCACAAACATTTTTCCTTTCAGCATAATTCTGCACCATTTGTATATACGAATCATGATGTGGTAGTAACACTTCTGAGATGACTTCACATAACCAAGAAAAGAGCTCAATTCCTGTTTTAATGGCTTTTTTCCTCTCCTTTCCCATCCTATTCTCACCTGCTATTCTCTCACCTCCTCTTCATCCCCTCCTTTCCATGTATACTTCTCTACACCATGCAGACTGCTTATCCTTGGAAAATAAGTCCTCTAACACAAATGAAATTTAACCACCTGAATGTTAAAGAACTCAAAGTAAATGCTTAGTACTGAAAATCCTATGTGATAAAATTATAAGGAACTTTAGAAGTATTGAAATTTGGCTATATAGTAATAGAATTTTAACTCTGTGGTTTACATTCCTGGCTAAGACGTATATTGAGATATCTTAGATTTTGATGGGAATTATAATGAAATATAATGACAGTAATACTTACTCCCTGTGAAAGCACTAAAATGTTTACCATCACCTTTCCCATGCAATTAACTTTAACATAGCATTAATACAAAAGTGATAATTATTATGCAAAAGAAAACCTCGAGGGCACATTTCCATGGTGTAATGAATAATTTTCTTCAGATTGCCTCAAATTTATTCTGGTATCAACAGTTACATAGAAATGAAAAGGAATAATTAGTAATAGAAGTTCAGTGCAGCAAAATCAAATCTGCTACATATTGCTTATGAAAAATTAGCTCATACTCAGTTTCCATTAGCAAATGTGAACAATTAATCACAAAACAACACCTCACAGATGATGTAAATTGTCAGATAAGAGTAAACTGTTTTAAAAATTAACCTTGTATTAATCTTTATAATCATCTGATTGTCCTGAGATATTAATTCTGATGATTCTTGCTACCTGTAAAATTATTTAAACAGACGTTGATATACAAATTCATAATATAGGTAGAGAATTTAGAATTGAGAATTCATTTAGCAGGGCTAAAATCTTGGTCTTCCTTTGGTAGGTATCAATTCAGAAGCCATTCACCTAACTGTAGGAATCAACATGTCTCGGCAAGAGGGTGGTATGCCAAAATAAGTCATTGCTCTAGTTCTGCCACGGTGCTGATTTGCATGTTCTCTTCTTCATATTTCATTTACTTATGTCTTCATTTTTCTATCTGCAAAAGAGGGACACTAATATTGGCCTTGCTTGTGAAATACTTTGGTGCTTGCACACAAGGAATACAATAAAGTTTAGCTGTTATTTATCATGGCCCATTCCTATATCACATGTAAGTCAAACCTAGAAATATTTATAGATCAGTAGATACTTTTGTATTTCTTGAGTAGCAGAAGATGTCACAGATGTTCAGTATTATAAAAAAAAGTATGAACAGACAGACCAGAAAATAAATCACATTTGTGTTTCTTCTCTTTTATAAGAAGTTTCTGTGCATCTTTCGTCAAAGGGTGATTAATGATTCCACCATTTCCATCCTTCTGGAGCTCAGCCTTGACAAATGCTATTCACTGTTTCTTCAGTCATATGAATTTTAGAAAATATTTAGACATGTTTGATCTAAAGACATTCATTCAGATCGCAGAGAAATGTACAGTGTTACTGAGTTCAATTTGAGAATATGCAGTAGTGTGGAGAATATTTTCAGAATGTTTTATAAATATTTTCAGGTTGCTGTGCATTGTCTCAAAATTAGAACATACAGAAGAAATGTTGATTGAAGGTCGTGTTTGCCCTTTTAGCTACAAGTCAGAGTGTGCAAAGTTTGCTCAGGTTAGATCATAGTTACTATATTTGATAGGTTGAAAAGAAAGTTTTTTGCAACAATAAACGCAGTGGATAGCTTAATCAAATAACAATTGCAATACCGTCTTCAGACTAGATCTTTAGAAGAGACAGGAAATAAAACAGTTTGAAGATACGGTGCAGATTTCCTTATCTGTTTATCCTTTAGAAATTTTTTGAAACACAAAGATTGGAATGAAGAAAACGTACAATCTGGTATAAATGTTTCCCTCTCAGGGACAATTTTGGAGAGAAAGATTTATGTTGGGACTTGGCCTACACCTGCAGAAATTTTTACCTACTAAAACAGTGGGAGCCAATGACCAGGCCAGCTTACCGGTTTTGTGACAGCTCTGCTCACTACTGGTGCTTTCTGGAAAGATCATCAAGGCTTGCGTTTAGCCATTCTCTCTGACTTTGACCATTTATAGTCACATAATCCCACCTGGGTCCTTTCCCTCGCATCGAATCAACTCCTTTCTGTTCTCAGAGATGCGCAGCCAGAAGCCAGGTCCCAGAGACCTGAGATGCGCAGGCAAATTCCAATTGGATCTTCATCATCCCAGTGTTTGATGTCAATTAGGGGGGAAAAAAAGTAGATTGAAAATGAAGGATGTTATGCTTTTCTTCGTATGCATATGGGCTTTGGGAAATTCTGCCGTGAAGGTCTAGAGCTGGTATTTTCATTGGCTGGGTTGGGGTTATCCACAGCTTATTCCAGCATCTCTCTTACAGGTGAGAACCTACATATATGGTAATGTCAGATATTGCTTGACTCTTGACATAGTGTCTGATCTGTGGGAGGAAATGTCAAAATAGCTCTGGAACCCACCACTGTGAAACATCCGCTGTTGAAAAAAATGTCTGGCAATTTTCTATCCAACATTTCTCTGTTGTTTCCTCAGTG